CGGCCGGTGACCTGGACTCTGAGGTCCTGTCCTCTTAAGCGGGAACTGAGAACGCTCAGGGACATTCTAGGGGACCGCAGCTCCTCCCAGGTCCGGCCCGAGGGAGAGGCCGAGACTCTGCCAGGATGCGTGACCTCCGTCCCGCGCATTCCTCGCGTCGCCCGGGCGCCAGCCTGCTCTCAGCACCAGGGAGCGCTTCGCCAAGTCCCAGGCCGCGCCGGGGAAAGACGCGAGGCGCCGCGCTCCTGGGTCGCCGCAAACCCGTCTTTGGGAGCTGATCTCGAGGCCTGTTGTTGTTGTTAGGTGCCGTCGAGTCGGTTCCGACTCATAGCGACCCTATGTACGACAGAACGAAACACTGCCCCGTCCTGCCAGGAACTCCAGGCTTAGGTGAGCAAAAAGAAGGGCAGAACTTCGGTTTGGAAGACATAGTCCCGAGGCGCCCCGCACTGAGTGGAAGCGAAGAGGTGAGGCGACGGGTACGTGAAGGGTGGTTGTGTCCACACGGCCTCAACGCTTCAAGCAGCATCAAAAGAAAACTTGCTTTCCTGTCCCGAGAGGCTGCCTTTGTTGCGTCCGCTTCCGCTTCCGCCCCTGCCTTTGAAGCGGCGGGTACTCTTGGGGCCACTCGCTGGGTCTGCTCTATCCACAGCCCCGCCCTGGACTTTAGCTTCTCCTTGGAGATCTGAGAATGAATCCCGAAGTCCCCACAGGGACGGCAGAGTTGAGAGGCTAAAGCAATGGGTAGGAACGGGGCGGGGCGCCCTCAGGTCCACCCGCTGCCTCCCTCCCGGGCTCCGAGTGGAAGTCGCCTCCCACGGTGGGGGAGACCACTACCCCCACACCCCTTTCCGTGCGCAGAAGACCACGCGGCCTGGTGGGGGCAAAAAGGGCGGACCCGCACACTGGCCTCCTTCTCCAAGAACGGAGGAAGCGGCACTAAGAAGTAGCGGGGTTTGAGCCTCTCACGTAGGTCCAATACAGGGTGAGGCTTTAAACCGAGGGGCTGCGAGCGCACAGCAGGAGCACACCCCAAGTCTTTTAAAACTGCTGTCCCACAGGTCTCTGCTGTCCCTGGAACTGCAACCTGCACACCACAATTCCAACCCCAGCCCGAGGATGGCCCCAGGCACACTGACGGCATCCTCCACGATGCCCCATGGAAGCGCACCGCCCGTCTGTAAAATGGGAAGAATAATAACCTCCCTCTTGCTGTGGGGACCATGGTGTCGGGGAACATCTAGCTCAATTGGCATAACACAGTTTATAAAGACAATGTTCTACATTCTACCTTGGTGAGTAGCGACTGGGGTCTTAAAAGCCTGTGAGCAGCCATCTAAGATACTCCACTGGTCTCATGCCTTCGGGAGCAAGGGAGAGTGAACAGAACAGGATACAAGGAAAAGACTAACCCGAAGTACTAATGGACCACAGCTACTAAGGCCTCCACCAGACTGAGTCCAGTACAGCTAGATGGTGCCCGGCTACCACCACTCACCGCTCTGACCGCGATCACAACAGAGGGTCCTGTACAGAGCTGGAGAAGGATGTAGGACAAAATTCTAACACATAAAAAAAGACCAGATTTACTGGTCTGAAAGAGACTGGAGAAACCCCGAGAGTATGGCCCCCAGACCCCTTCTAGCTCGGTGGTGAAGTCACTTCCGAGGTTCACCGTTCAGCCGGGGATTGGACAGCCCCATATAACAAAACGGGACTAATGAGGCACAGCAGTCCAGGGACAAGGACTAGAAGGCAGAAGGGGACAGGAAAGCTGGTGATAGGGAACCCAGGGTTGAGTAAATATAGTGTTGATGTGTTGTGAGGTTGTTAACCATTGTCATAGGGCAACATGTGTACTGTTAAATGAGAAACTATTTTGTTCTGTAAGCCTTCATCTAAAGTGAGAACAGCAGCACAACTGGAAGAGCGTAGTCGATGTCACTGAACCGTGCATGTAGAAATTTTTGAAATGGTGTATCTTTGGCTATGTATATTTTCACCAAAAAAAAAAAAAGTCGAGAAGGGAGAGGGTTGATATGTTGTGGGGTTGTTAACCAATGTCATAAAACAATATGTGTACTACTGTTTCATGAGAATCTGTTTGTTCTGTAAACCTTCACCTCAAGTACAATTAAAAAACATTTAAAAAAAAAAAATAACAACCTTCCTCTTAGAGTAGTTGTGAGAAGCAAATGAGTTCATGAATGTAGAGCGCTTAGCACCGCCTGGCACGTAGTAAGTGCTCAATAGGTGTTATAAATAACAACAACAATAGCTTTCACTTTTAGCATGCCGCCGTGGGGCAGACACTCGTGCCAGGTTTAACCTGCACGCGCCCAACTAAACGTCAAACCTCCCCACCCGGAAAGGATTGCTACCCTCCTACGGCATTTAGGAGGAAACTGAAATCTAGAGCCGGGCACTAACCCGCCCAGGGCTGTTCAGCTGGGCAAAGGCGGAGTGGATTCGCACCCAGGGCACCCTCTCTACTCCCCCATGATTAGGAGGCTGAGAGAGTGGCCGAGCCACGCAGGGCGACCTCGTGTCCCCTCGTCTTTCCAGTGGCCTAGAGGAGTAACTCTTCCACCAGGAGACCAAAATCAGCAACCGGTGGAGGTCCAGACCCAGGAGTCCTGCACCTGCGCCTGGCCAGGAAGACGTGGGGGCAGGCGGGGGTCAGTCCAGGCCGCGCAGGGTCGGCCCGGAGGCGCGTGGGGGCGGGGCCGGACCCCACGTGCGCCGCCTGCCGCCGCTTCTCAAAGCCCTTTGTCGCGAGCAGCCGCGTTCGTGCCGCACTCGGCGGCTTAAAATAAAGACAATGTTCCCAGCCTCCCTGCGGCTAAATCGGGCTCGGGTGTGGGGGCGGCGAGCAAGCCGGGCGGGAGCGCTGCTCTTGGCCCTCCTCCCTTTTCCCCTCCTGCCTCAGTTTCCCCATCTGGGAAGGGGACCTGGCCAAGTCTGGGGGGGAGCGAGAGGAGGCATACAGTGCAGGGGACAGGGGGGTCATCCCCTGCCTCCGGACTTAAAGAGGAAGCCTCTTGGGACAGGAGGGGGCACTCGGGAGGAGGTAAGGGAAAGCTGGACACCCTTCTCTCCCGCCCACAAAATAAGTGTTTTTATTTCTGAAGGGACGTGTGCAGAGGCGGTGGAGAGGAGAAAAGGGACCAAGGAGATGGGGGAGGGGGGCAAGAAGGGAGCCTGAATCAGATTCGGAAATGGATGCGGAGCGTGGAGGCCTATCGCCCCCACACTCAGCCACGTGTACGCGCACAAGTACACGCAGCCCAACCGCATACACAGCGGCAGCCACAAACCAGGACAGCCCAGCAGGGGGCAGCGCGAGTCTGTGCCCATGGGCAGGGACCAGTGGAGTTCGGACCCAACCCTCACCCACTGGGTGACCCTGGAGGGAGGGGAGTTGCTCGGATTCTTCTCCAAGTTGAAGTGTCCCCTGACTTCAGAAGGGAGGAGACTGGGTGCTTGCTCAAGCCCCAGGTAGCTTTGAGAAACAGCCATGTCCCCACATGGACCTGCCACGTGTGCCCCCTACTGGCTCCCTATGGCTGCTGGCCAAGCCCAGAGGCTCTAGTTTCAGCTCTGCCTGGCTCCATTGGCAACTGGGCTCTGGAGTAAGGAAGCTCCAGGTCACCCTCAGGCATCAACATTGGGAAGGGGGGCTTGGTGGGCAGGGGGGAAGGAGTGGGGTGGGACCCAATGCCTTGCCCCAGACTCCAGAGCCCTGGGCTTAGAGCCAAGCAACCAGAGTCCAAACACTTGCCCACCACTTGTTTTCACACCTGTGCTCTTCAGTTTCCTCATCTACATAATGGGGATAATTGGTGATCCCAATCTTTCCCAGTGGGACAAAGGACACAGCAGCCCCAGCAGGCAGCCCCTGTGGCCTCCCCACCTCTTCTCCGTGGTCAGCTCTGCAGGAGGTCTCTGGGGCAGGGGAGGGCAGGGCAGGACCCAGGTGTCTATGGGAAAGGGCCCCCCAGGGGTTCTATCTCTGGGGAAACTCAACACAGAAATCCAAACCAGCTGGGGAGGGGGGGGGCAGGTGCCAGTCAAGCAATGAGGCTGAGGGAGGTGGGGAGGAAGGGCAGGTTCGTCACTTCCCAGGTACACACACCTGTGAGCCCTGAGTGGGAGTCAGGGGAGACAGAGTTTGACAAGCTGGGAGGAGAGCTGTCTGTCTGCCTGTCTGTCTGTCTTCCAAGTGGAAGCTGGAGGTGGAGCAGGAAGGGAGGTAGCGGCTTTGCCTCCCTTGTCAAAATTAACAGGTCCCACAGTTGGGCAACACTCAGACACACACCAAATACAGACACACGTGTACACACGAGTCCTAGCTCCAGACCGACGAGGTCACCCTGCATTTACACAGGCTGCATGTTGACATGAGTGCACAGGGACACACGTGTGCCAGGCACTCATGCAGGGAGCAGACACATGGCCCCTCCTGCACATACACGCAAACCAGACAAGAAGCTACACTCAGACCCCAGCTCTGCAGCAGTCAGACCCAGAGCTCACTGCCCAGCACGCGGGCACATCCCGCTCAGCCTCCGGGAGGGCTCGCCAGCCCTCTGGGTCTGTTCCAAGTTAGAGCCTCTCACGTGAGGCCCAATGTGTCATTTCCAAACAGAAAGAATCTAGCTCCTTCGCAGCAGGGAGGAAGAGCAGGGTGTGTGGCTGGGTGGGCGCGTGGGCATGTGCAGGGGGAGGGCATGTTTGAGGGAAGCAGGCATGTGAATACCGGGCATGTGTGTTGGGGCATGGTGAATGCCGGGAGGGGGGGGTCTGAGTTTGGGTGGGGGAGGGGGCCGGGGGAGACAGAGGGTGCCTTTGTGAGGGTGTGTGTGGGTATGTGCATGTGTGCCGTCAGGTCTGTGTGCAGTGGGTGTGGGTGTTTGTCTCCCGGTATCCGCCTTCTCTCCCATCCTGGACTTTTAGCCTCCCTGGGTTCGCCTTCCTCATGTCCTGCCCCCTCCCTCTCAGGGCTTGAATTGGGTGCCCTGGTGGAGGAGGGGGGCACACTCCAGGACCCACTCCAACCCCAGACACTGCCTGAGGCTTCCCTCCAGCTTCCCCTCCCTTTCTTTCCTCCCTTCCCTCCCTCCCTCTCTTTGCCTTCCTCCCTCCCCCCCTAGGCTGGCGTGCCAGGGGGTGGGACATGCCAATCACTGGTTGTGCCTCTCCTGCTGCCAGCACAGGGCGCAGCTCCCCCCGGGAGCCAGGTGTTTGGGTCCCTGGAGACGCTGCCGGCCCCCGGGAAAGCAGTAGGGCTGAGGACCCTACAGACCCCTCTCCGGTCCCATGGTGAGTAGATTTGGAAGGACTTGGGAGGGGCTCACTGAGGTGGGGGCAGGAGAAAAAAGGTCCTCTGGGGGAGGGGGCAGGGCAGGGACCAGGACTAGAAGGAAATGGGGGTGGACCCAAGACAGAGGAGGGGGCCAGGGAGGGGTCTAGAGGCCAAGGGGGCTCCATACCACTGGACATTGGCTGCTCCAGACGCCCCGTCTCCTGGCTTTGAATGGATACATCTGATGTTTTTCTGGCGCTCAGCTGGCAGAGGAGATGGAGACCCTCTTGGGAAACTGGACTTGGATCCCAGAAGGGTATTCGGCTGCAGGCAGAGCACCCATCACCCCAGAGGGCAGCATGGGAGGGGCAGGGGGCCAGGAGGCAGTCCTGGCTACCAGCATCCCGTGGGAGGTTGACCCTCCTTAATTGGGGAACCAGCCCCAGAACCTCCTCCTCTCCTCCCTCAGGACACCCTGAATCCCACCACCTCCACCTACCTTCAGCACCCCCAGGATGGACTGAACCAGGCTGCTGGCCAGACAGACAAGCTGGATGCCAAGGTGGGTGTCAGGCCAGGAGCCAGCAGGAGTCTAGGCCAAGAGCCCCAGGGCTCTCTGAGGACAAATGGGCACATGGACGGCCACGCCATCCAGGGAACATGGCCCTGGCGTGTGCAGGGACCCAGAGGGCCCTCCTTGTGTCCAGAGTATCTTGGACTCCCACAGGGCAGTTTTAGGTCCTGTGTCCAGGTAATGCATGGATACTAATGGGCACCCATGCCAGATGCCCATTCGAGTGCTTGGAGACTCCACAGTGAGGGTATGGGCTGAGGGGGCAGGAGCGCTGATTCTTGCAGAGTTGCCAGCTCCTGGACTGGCAGCTGGGGAGGGGGCAGTCAGCTTCCATTGGGTCTTGCAGACATGTGCTGTTTAGGGGTTAACAGTGCCAGTGGAGAGGGGTTCACCTCTTCCCACAAAACACACCTGCAGCTCCACCCAGGCTGACCTAAGGCCACCTGCCCAACTGGCTGGAAGGAGCCAGGCTGCCTACTGCAGCCAAACAGTCTCCTGTCCCTGGGTGATCAGCTGCTCACTGAGCTGTCAGATGAGAGTTCTCTGCCCCTTGACCTCAGCCACTAGGCAAGCCACAATCACAGATCACTGTTGAGATATGGCGAAGGGAGGAGAGAGCGAAATGGAGCTGCAGAGGACGTGAGGCTTAGCTTCCCAGCCGAGGGCCAGAGCTCTGAGAACTGCATCCCAGAAGGGCAGATGAGTCCAGGGCGTCAAGAGGGGGCTAGGCAGAGGTCTGGCCAGACCCAGAAAGGACTCCCATTGTACAGATGGGAGAGACTGAGGCTGGGAAAGGGGAAGGGACCTGCTGCTCATGGTCATAGAGTGGATATTTAGGGGTCTAGTTGGGTTTGGACCCCATTATCCTCTCCCTCAGTGCACAGCACTATGCTCCCACCTCTCCGAACAGGATGATGGGGGAAGGGAACTGGGGGAGCAGCGAGCGAGCGAGCTCTGTGAGGCGGGAGAGGTGGGTGAATCGCGCTGGGTTTCTGCTCTGCTGTGGTGCCATGGTGATGCCGAGAAGGATGGGGGAGGGAGGAGAGAGAAGAGAGGAAATGGGAGGGGAGCATGAGGAGCCAAGAGCAGGGGGCAGGCAGAGTGGAAGGTGAGGGGGCAAGCACCCTGATGCCACACTGGCAGGGCGAGGTCTAGAGCCCAGCCTGCTCTGCTAGGCTCTGGCATGGCCCAGCCGAAGTCTACCAACTAGTTAAGGTCTTTCAACAACGAGCAGATTTGGCAGTGGTTCTAGAGCTGATGCTTCTCTTCCGGCTCAGCAATGCATTGATACAGCATTTAACTGATGGCTGCCGCCCTCCGCAAAGCCAGCGGGCACTCCCAGTGGTGACTGTGGAGCCTAAAAATGTGATGAACTGTATTTGTTTACTCACTTGTTCCTAAGGCCAGGTATCAGTGGTGGGAGTTTTATGCACCTTGAATAGGTGAAGAGACCTTCAGAGAAAAGTCAGCCCAGGGGGAGACAGCATCCCTGGCAGGCTGGTTCCTGGGTTAAGACCCCAAGCAGCAGGGTCTGGTCAGGAGACCTGGCCAGAAGGAGCACCCTCCTCACTGTATATGTGAGGTCCCAGGTGCCCCAGCCACACAGCTGCTCCACACACCTTCTTCTCCCAGTATTGCTTGTTCTCCCCAGTCGGGGTTCCGCCAGCTTCCAGACCCCAAGTCACAACGTGGCTCCACCCCTCCCTTTTGAATCTCTTTCCCAGCACTGCTTCATTCGCTGCCTTCCCTTTTCCGCTTCTTGGTAAGGTTCAAGAAACCCTAGTGGGAACCCCTCTCCCCACCTCTCTCTCCCTGCCTCCTCCATCTCTCGCCCTCCCCTCCCCATAGCCTCTCTCCCCTCCCCCTTCCTCTGCAAGCCAGATCCCCAGCCCCTGGGGATTGGTCCAGGGCGCTGTCGGTCAACAGTCTGGCCTGTTGCACTGGAGGCTCTGACCTCATCCCTTAACTCTTTGAGCCCAGACTGACTTTCTTCTCCCCCCACACTGACAGGTGCTGCCCTATCACCTTGCTTTGCTTTCTGGCAGCCGGGGAGGCAGGGTTTCCTTGGTTCATTTTGATGAGGATACTCTTAGCTGTCTTCCTCCTTGCTCTAGCCAGGCAGGGCCTCCCACACCGGGTAGGGACCTGGCAGATGAGGAGATACAGGAGCTTGAGGGAGCAGAGGGGCCTCTGGGCCATGCTCTGGAGCTGGTCCTCACCCGAAGGCTCATCCTCATGGCCCTAGGCCTGAAGTCAAGCAGAAGCACCCATGTAGACATCCATATCTGTATTTCACAAATATTTACTGAGCAACTACTGTGCCAAGCACTGAGATGAAGCCATGAAGGAGGCAGACACAGCCCTGACCCTCTGTCCCCCTTCCCACAGCCCCATCATCACCTATTACACAGATAGCCAACAGACACTGTCACACACACACACACACACCAGATTCTAAAGGAAGGACCAATTTCTCATTGTTGACTGGTTCAAACTAGGGTTCGGCCAAGCTAGTCGAGGTAGACAAGGAGACTGATGAACCCTCCATCCCCACAAGAGAAGTTTTGAGTAAGGGTTTCAGAGGGCGGTCTCTGGAGACAGGCTGCCTGGATCCAAATCTCGGTTGCATCACTGAAGGGCTGTCTATCCTTAACGTCTTAAAGCCTCAGTTGCCCCTTTTGCAAATTGGGGATAATAATAGAACCTAACTCACTAGGAGTTGTAACGGGTCAACTAAATTATGTATGTAAGTACTTAGAATCATGTCTGGCAGGTAGTAAGCAGTCAGTAAATAGCAGTTGCTATGATAATATTAATATTAATATAATTATTAAAGGCTCCCAGCAGCCTAGATCAGGAGGCCACTGTCCTGGGCAAAAAAGCACCGCCCCTTTTCGTTGCCACCTTCCTGTACCCTAGACACAACACCCTCAGAGGATGAGTCCCAACCTATCCCCCTAAAGCTATAGTCTCACCCCACCATTTCCTATTTTCACTCAGCAATCCATACACGCACACATGCATCCTAGGAGTTCACCTCCATCCCACAGAAGGTTATCAAGTCAAGATAGTGACTTTTCCAAGGTCACACAGCAAGACAATAGTGGAGACAGGACTTGAACCCAGTGACGGAGACTGCCTTGGGGGGGGTCTCCCCTCGTGCACTGCAGTCCCCACTGACCAGCTCCCCAACCCCCATGGATGTTTTCTAGACCTCACAGATGTGCTCTGCAGATATGGCTTTAAGTCCACCTTTCAACCAGATGGCTGGCCCTAAGCCCCTCCCTCGCAGAAATTCTGCAGCCACTACTAAACCCTGACACTCTGACTCTCAGCCTAGGGATCGTTTCCCCAGGGGGATCGGCCACAATCTCAGGAAGCCACATTCCTTCACAACCATCATCTTGCTTGGAACCATCATCAATCAGTAGCCTTGAACAGGCAGAGGACTGTCTCAACCAAGAGTTAAAAAGACTTGCCCAAGGTCACACAGCAAGGACAGAGTAGGTCTCCAGACACCTTCTCCTGAGCTTTTTCACTGTCCAAGAGGAAAAAGCAGAGGTGAGGACCCCCTCTTCTAATTGCGGAGGAAAATCAGAATCATTAAAGGGTCCATTCTCGGGCTGTGTCACAAGGTGTCAGAAGGTCCAGGGCGTGGCAGGAGTCAGGCTCCAATTCCCCAGACGTCCACCCCCTTTTGCCTTCCTGACCACCCTAGCCATCCCAGATGGGGGCCCTTCTCTCTCCCTCAAGGGATCAGCCAAGTGGAAAGAACAAAGACCTTGGAGCCTGCAGGTCCGGGTCAGAATCTCAACTCCAGGACTTCCTATGAGGCCATCAGTAAGTACCTTAGCTCCCTGAGTCTCAGTGTCCTCAGCTAGAAAATAGAGATAAGAACCCCCCTTTGGGGTGTCCTGTGGATTAAGGGAGATAATAATGGACTTAAAATGCCTGGCACACAGCAGGTGATTCATGATGGTGGTTATCAACATGGCTCTTAAAATGGGAGACTTGGAGGGACTTCCAGCCATCAAGGCAAGGGACTGCCAGCCTCCTCACCTCCACCACCAAGAAATAACCCTCGGGTTTCTTCTCCTCAAAGGTCCCTTGTTCCGAAAGCATTTTTTATTCTTCAAAGCTATAGCTAGCTGCCAACAACAGCTTGTGATGGGCAGAGGTCGCCATGTGCCCACCCTGAGCTGATCTCATTCTAGCCCAGGTTGAGGAAATCGAGTGATCGTTTAACCCCTCAGCCTCCCCTGGGGAACACGGGTCCTTTCTGTTCGGCTTCTTGAGACGTTGGTTTTGGGACCCTGCACGATCTCCCCGGATACCAGGCTGGTCCAACTCCTTCACTGTGCAGATGAGCAGACCGGGGATCAGAGAGGGGCTGTGCCTGGGGTCCGGAGGGGAAGGGGCGCGGCAAGAGGTGGCAGAGCTGTGCAGCAGAATAAGGAAGGAGTCAGGACTAACAACAGAGGCCTTTAAACTAAGCGCCTGTTTCAGTGCCAGGTGCTTTGACCACTGTCATCCCCATCAGCTGGGGGTAAGGGGCAGCAGGGGAATGAAAGGTTAAGTGATTGCTGACGGTCACTGAGCTAGAAAGTGACAGCGCTGAGATTTAAAGCCCAGGGCTGAGGTCCACAATGCCGGGACTAGGGTAAGTCGAGTGAGGCACTCACCTCAGGAGCAAGGTTTAAGGGGGGCACAAAAAAAAACCTCCATAATCAAGATCAACCAGCAAACTACAGCCCCACAGGCCAGCCGGCTGTTTTTGTAAATAAGGTTTCATTGGCACCAAGGCCAGCATTGAGGCGAAGCAAGTGAGGCAGGGTCGAAATGCAGGGTTGGATTCTGTATTTAAAATTGTGTTTACATGGGTTTTTTTGCATTAATGTTTCTTTTTAAAAATCTTACTTTAAAATATGATTTATTTTGATTACGGAGCTTTTGGGCACCCCCTTAAATTCTGTAGCCAAAGTAAGTGCCTCACCCTCGTCCCAGCCCTGTGGTAGTGTGATGACGAACTACAGTGGTGGAATGCTCAGCCACGCTTTGAGGGATGCACCACACCCGGGCATCTGGGAGGCCCCTGCAACTGAAGAGGGTGCGGCCTCTCAGACCCTCAAGCTCCTCTTCTCTGACTCAGCGTTCCCAGTCTTTGCCCAGGGCTCAGGGCATGCTGAGGGATACAGGGCTGCTCCAAGCCACCCGGCGGGTGGAGGGGGGGCGGACTTCAATCTAGGAGCCAGAAGACCTTGAGCTAGCTGATGCCTTCTCCCGCTTTTCTCTGGACCTCAGCTTCTCCCTTGGTGCAATGGACGTTAAGCAGAGCTGGGCCCAGAAGATTAAACCAACAGTTGTGCAGGGCAGACTGTCAAATGTAGTGTCCACCAGTGGCCTCACTGGGGAAAGTCCTGGCAGAGCAGTCTGATCCCAGCCTCCGGCCTAACGCCTGACTTTGGTTGACAGAGAAGGCACAACAAAACTCAGTAGTCAAGATAAATCATATTTTAATGTAATATTATTAAAAATCAAATCGGCAAACTCTGGCCCAAACTGCTTGGGCTCCAATCCTGGTTCCTACCTTACCTGTGTGATTTTGAGCAAATTCCCTCACTTTTCTCAGCCTCGGTTTCCTCATGTATAAAATGGAACCAAAAACCAGTTGCCATGGAGTCAATTCCTATTCATGACCACCCCATGTGTGTCAGAGTAGAACAGTGCTCCATAAGGTTTTCAATGGCTGATTTTTCAGAAGTAGATCATCAGGCCTTTCTTCCTAGGTGCTTCTGGGTGGACTCGAACCTCTAACCTTTCAATCGCATTAACTGTTTGCACCACTCATAAAATGGAGATAGTAGCAATCCCTATATTAAATGCGATAATGCATATAAGCACTTCAGGAGAGCCTGGCACTCCAGGACCACTAAATAATGGCAGTGATCATTATTATTATTGGTTGTTGTTGTAGTATTAGAGATTTTTAATCAAAGAAGTGGACACTCGTAGGCAGGAGGGAGCCCCCACTGCTATACATACTAAGAGCTTAGTGCTTACCATAAGGAGCCCTGCTGGTGCAACAGTTAAGCACTCGGCTGCTAACCAAAAGGTTGGTGGTTCAAACCCACCCATCGGCACCACAGGAGAAAGACCTGGTGATCTGCTCCCATAAAGATTACAGCCTAGAAAACCCTATGGGGCAGTTCTACTCTGTTGCATGGAGTCGCGATGAGTCAAAAAATCTACTCGACAGCACCTAACAACAACAGTGCTTTCCACGTGCCGCAGGGTGTTCTAAGCACTTTGTATGCGTTGACTTGTTTAATCCTCACAACTCCTTGATGGCTTAGCTTGTTGCTGTTAGGTGCCATCGAGTCGCTTCTGACTCACAGCGACCCTATAGAACAAAGTAGAACGGCCCCATAGGGTTTCCAAGGAGCGGCTGGTGGATTTGAACTGCCAAACTTGCGGTTAGCAGCCGAGCTCTTAACCACTGTGCCACCAGGGCTCCCTGATGCATTAGCTAGGGACTAGTATTAGCTAGGGACTAGTATTATCCCCAGGGAGCCCTGGTGGTGCCATGGTTAAGCATGCACAGCTGCTAACCGCAAAAGGTCCGTAGTTTGAACCCACCAGCCACTCTGCAGGAGAAAAGACCTGGCAATCTGCTCCTGTAAAGATTACAGCCTAGGAAACCCGATAGGCAGTTCTACTCTGTCACATGGGTCACTATGAATCGGAATCAACTCAACAGCACCCAACAACAAGTACCATCCCCATTTTTCAGTTGAGCAAACTGAGGCTCACAGAGTCATGGCTCTAGCTAAGGTCACACACCCAGTAAATGGTGCAGCCGGATTCAAATCCAGACAGTCTGGCTCCCGAAGCTGGGTTCTTTACCTGCAGCATTACACATATACCCTCACATGCAAGCTGTCCCAGATGCACACGCACACACTGACAGCCACAGCCGTCACCCATACTGTCACACACTCCCCGCCCCCAGAGTCACTCACAGGCACCGACAGTTCACCACGAGCCGTGAAGATGCTCTCAGCCACACTCCAGGTCACACACCCTCAGAGCCACACACCACCAAGGCCATCTACCACGCACAGAGACACGCTCATGGGCACAGCACTCTGGCTTCTTGTACACACCAAGTCCCAGAGAAATACCAGGGCTTCGTGGGCCCTCGCCCAACATCTCTTCCTTGGAATTTTCCTATTAATACAGCCCCTGAAGGTCATGGTGGGTGGGGGGGAACCTCCAGTCTCTTCAATGGACAGGTGGACACCTGAGGCCCAGGACAGGAAGGGACTGGCCAAAGCACACAGCAGCAAGGCCATGGCTGAGCTAGCATGGACCCCCACCATTGAACCTGGCTTCACCTTGGCTATGGGGACCTCTTGCCCAGTCTGTAGGTCACTAGGAATCCTGGCCCTTCTCTTGGCCCAGTCTCAATGCCCGGGCTGGACTCCAGCTCCGAAAAAGTTTGGGGGATCTTCCCCTTCCCCTAGCTGCCCCCCACTCAGCTGGGGCCCGGGAACAGAGCAGGGAGAGGGAGGGATACTTCCCACGCCCCATCTGGGGCCAGACCTGCTTAGCTGGGAGCTGAGGCCCCTATCTCTGCTGCCTGCTTTTACTTCAGACCTTCTTACCACCAGGCAGGTGTCCGGGCTTAGCACCACGTCCCTGCTGCCCTCAGATGGGGCTGCCCTAGCCTCAGGCCACCCTCTCTCTCTCCACCCACGTGCACAGAAAAGCATGCATGCATGCACACACGCACACGCACACAGCACCCCTCTGCTCCCATCTCTTTTCCCTTATCTTCTCTGGAGCTCTTCCAAGCCTTCCAACCTCTCCCGTTTTATGGAAGAATCCCACTGGGGCTCCACATACTCAGGGAGTGAGAGAGAGAACAGTGTTCTAATCATACTCACCACCTGTGTGGCTATGGCCAAGCCTTGTAGCTGCTCTGAGCCACAGTTGCCTCACAGTGAAATGGGGATAATACCAGTCCTTCCTCCTAGGGATGTTAAAAACCAAACTCATTGCCATTGGGTCATTTCTGTTGCATGGCAATCTCATGTGTTAGAGTAGAACTGTTCTGCATAGAGTTTTCTTGGCTGTAATCTTTATGGAAGTAGATTGCCAGGCCTTTCTTCCTGGCTTCGCTGGGCAGGGTAAATTAGGTTAGTAGTTGCATACAAACTGTTTGCACCACCCGGGGTCCTTCCCTAGGGATGTTACCCCTTTGCTGTTGAGTCGATTCCAACTCGTAGCAGCCACATGTCTTACAGAGTAGAACTGCCCCATAGGATTTTTCTTGGCTATAATCTTTTACTGAAGCAGGGCCAAGGCCAAGACTTTCTTCCATGGCACTGCTGGGTAAGTTTGAACTACCAACCTTTATATTAGTAGTAAAGCACAAACCATTTGCACCCCCAGGATCCCTCCCTAAGGATGTTTAAAAAAGAAAAAACCTGTCGCCGTCAAGCTAATTCCATTCCAACTCAGAGAGACCCTATAGAACAAAGTAGAACTGCCCCATAGGATTTTAAGGCTATAAATCTTTCCAGAAGCCAACTGCCACATCTTTCTCCCACGAAGCGACTGGTGGGTTCAAACTGCCAACCTTTTGGTTAATAGCAGAGTGCTTAATCACTCTACCACCAGGACTCCTCCCTAGGGATGTTAAACCCACTAAAAACCCATGGCTGTGGAGTTGACTCCAACTCTTAGTGACCCCATAGAGTTTCCAAGGCTGTAAATCCTTATGGAAGCAGACTGCCACATCTTTCTCCCGCGGAGCTGCTGGTGGTTTCGAACCTCAGACCTTTCTGTTAGCAGTCAATCGCTTTAACCACTGTGCCACCAGGGCTCCCTCTAGGGATGTTATCACAGTTAAATTAGATAATTTAAGCAAGTGCTTAGCACCGTGTCTGGCATCTAGTAACTGCTGAATAAACGCGGGCTTTATAAAGTAAGGTAGCTGAGCGAAATGCTTTGAAAATTTGGCGGTACTGGATATGAAGTATCTCCCACCTCCTTCCCCATGAGTCAAGCAGGATAGGAAATGGTAGCCATTTCCCAGATGAAAAGACTGAGGCTCAGAGTCTGAATGGTGGAGTGGAACTGAGGACTCTGATCCCTGGATTCCAAAGCCACCCCACACTTCTGGCAAAACCATTCATGGCTGGGCGGGCGCATTATAAATGACTGCGAGGACGCCTGTAAGGGAGGGTGATGCTATTTGGCCTTTACCTCTGAGCAGACAGGAGCTGCGTTCTAGCACCTTCCCCTCGGGACTATCAGAGATGTCCAGCTGGCCCAATCAATGCCATGTCCTCCTCTCTTTCCAGGTGATGACTACCCACTAAGGAAACCCTGTAGTGTGCCTAGAGGAAGGGACTGCCCCCCCCAGCCCCGCCCGGCCACCATGAACACCTCGGCTCCACCTGCCGTCAGCCCCAACATCACCGTCCTGGCACCGGGAAAGGGTCCATGGCAAGTGGCCTTCATTGGGATCACCACTAGCCTCCTGTCATTGGCCACGGTGACAGGCAACCTTCTGGTGCTCATCTCCTTCAAGGTCAACGCAGAGCTCAAGACGGTCAACAACTATTTCCTGCTGAGCCTGGCCTGTGCCGACCTCATCATCGGCACCTTCTCCATGAACCTCTACACCACCTACCTGCTCATGGGCCACTGGGCCCTGGGCACGCTAGCCTGCGACCTCTGGCTGGCCCTGGACTACGTGGCCAGCAATGCTTCTGTCATGAACCTGCTGCTCATCAGCTTTGACCGATACTTCTCCGTGACGCGGCCCCTGAGCTACCGCGCCAAGCGCACACCCCGCCGGGCGGCCCTCATGATCGGCCTGGCCTGGCTGGTTTCCTTCGTCCTCTGGGCTCCAGCCATCCTCTTCTGGCAGTACCTGGTGGGTGAGCGGACAGTGCGGGCCGGGCAGTGCTACATCCAGTTTCTCTCCCAGCCCATCATCACCTTCGGCACAGCCATGGCCGCCTTCTACCTCCCAGTCACGGTCATGTGCACACTGTACTGGCGCATCTACCGGGAGACCGAGAACCGGGCACGGGAGTTGGCAGCCCTGCAGGGCTCCGAGACACCAGGCAAGGGAGGAGGCAGCAGCAGCAGCTCAGAGCGGTCCCAGCCAGGGGCAGAGGGCTCGCCCGAGACCCCTCCGGGGCGCTGCTGCCGCTGCTGCCGGACCCCCCGGCTGCTGCAGGCCTACAGCTGGAAGGAGGAAGAGGAGGAGGACGAAGGCTCCATGGAGTCCCTCACGTCCTCTGAGGGTGAGGAAACCGGCTCCGAGGTGGTGATCAAGATGCCCATGGTGGACCCTGAGGCACAGGCCCCAGCTAAGCAGCCCCCCCGGAGCTCCCCGAATACAGTCAAGAGGCCCACCAGGAAGGGGCGAGAGCGAGCTGGCAAGGGCCCGAAGCCCCGTGGGAAGGAGCAGCTGGCCAAGCGGAAGACCTTCTCACTGGTCAAGGAGAAGAAAGCAGCTCGGACCCTGAGCGCCATCCTGCTGGCCTTCATCCTCACCTGGGCACCGTACAACATCATGGTGCTGGTGTCCACCTTCTGCAAGGACTGTGTTCCTGAGACCCTGTGGGAGCTGGGTTACTGGCTGTGCTATGTCAACAGCACCGTCAACCCCATGTGCTATGCACTCTGCAACAAAGCCTTCCGGGACACCTTCCGCCTGCTGCTGCTCTGCCGCTGGGACAAACGACGCTGGCGCAAGATCCCCAAGCGCCCTGGCTCCGTGCACCGCACCCCTTCCCGCCAATGCTGATGGCCCCCTCGCCTGCACTCTGCCACCCCAGTCCCTGGGAGAGGCCGGTGGAGAGCGATGGGGGCGGTGTCCTCAGCCCCAGGGCCAGCTCAGGCCTCGCTCAGCTCCCCAGGCCCCTGGGTCACCTTCCTGGACCACCCAGAGAGACCCTGCCAACTTTCCAAACTTTGCTATTCCCAGACAGGAGGTGGAACCCAGGGAATAGGTATTTCTGTTCCCTGCTGGGTGGGAATGGGCTCTCCACCAGGAAGAAGGTCCGGGAGGAGGATCCGGGCTTTGGATTCCTTGTTTGCGTTTAGGCAGGAAGATCGGAGCCTGTAGGGCGGACCAGAAGAAAAAAGGTTTAATATTACAATCGTCCTTGGCACAGTGGCTGGCGCAGATTACGGTGGGAGTTGGCTCCCCCTGGAGGCCACAGTGGGGAACTGACACCAACTGCTGAGAAAGGAAAGTTCGGCTTTCCTCCCTCCCTCCCTGGGCAGGCAGAGCCTGCCCGCCAGACCCTAGGCATACTTTCCAGGGTTGTCCAGCCTCTCTACAGTTGTCCCCAGAGCATCCCTGTGTGGGTCATCCTGGATACAACATGTCCAAGCATCAGCAGGTCCCAATGACACCAGAGGAGACCAGCTTGGATAGTCACACACAGAGTTCTGGGGCAGCAACAGGACCAGGCTCCAGGCGTCCCGACCACTCTGCTATATCATTTTCCTGGGAGTGAGGGGCAGGATGCCTGCTGTCTAGCCCCACACCCATATCCCCTGCCCCAGGGAACCCCTCAGTCCTCCCTCCCTGGCTCACAGCCTCCACCTGGATGGATCTGCTCTGTACAAATCCAGCCAGGTCTCCTGCATGCTGCCTACTTCCTGGCCCGCCTCCCACAGGCCTGGCCCAGCCAGCAGGTTCTCTCCTCTGAGTGCCCCAATCCCACCCATGCATGGCCTCCCAGCCACCCTTATCTCCAGGCCCAGCCTGGCCCCAGATGTTCTTTTCTTCCATCCTCAGCAAGTGCTGAGTGTGAATAAAGCCACATAACCAGCGGACACTAAGGGGCCTTCCTTCCTGTGCTGCCTTGAGGCCCTGGTTGCAGGCCAGGGCAGGATGGGGCAGGGAGGGCTCCAGGACCCTGGATTGTGGGCCACTGCCCTGAGGGTGCTTCCAGTTTGGGGTGAGGGGTGGCACTGAATGGCTGGATCTACAGAAGCCTTTGGGATCAGCAGCCCAGGGTCCCTGGCTCAGGTGAGGAGGGCTGTAGCTGGCATCTGGAAGTGGGACGACTAGGAGAAATAGACTGCCCCTGTCCAGATCCTGGGTGGCCTAAACAGTTAAGTGCTCAGCTACTAACTGAAAAGGTTGGCAGTACAAACCCACCCAGAGGCACCTCGGAAGAAAGGCTTGGCATTCTCCTTCCAAAAGGTCACAGCCATGAAAACCCTATGGAGCAGTTCTACTCTGCACACATGGGGTTGTCATGAGTCAGAATTGACTGGAGGGCAACTAGTTGGTCCATATCCCTGCATATTCTCTATTGGTTCCCACCAAACATCGCTACTCTGGGACGTCACACCCAGGGAGAACAGAACTTCTCCAAAGCCTAGCTTACAGATGGGGAGGCTAAGGCCCAGAGTCCCAGGAGGACTTCCGGGTTACCCACAAAGCAACACTCAGGCTTTCAGGCAATTCACAGCCTCGTGATCCCCGGACTGTGGAGGGGCCGGGGGCGTGGGAAACTCCAGGCCTAAGCACTCATCAGGGGGATCCTCACAAAGCATTTCATTGCTAAGGGGGCCCCAAAGCCTAAAGCAAGGTAATCTGAGAGAGGTTAACCCACCAGCCTACAGCAGTGGGTCTCAAAGTGTGATCCTGACCAGTAGCATCAGTATCACCTGGGAGCTTGTTAGAGATATAAATTCTCAGGGTCTCCCCAGACTTACCGAGCCAGACACCCTGGGGGTGGAGACCAGCCATCTTTTTTACAACGCTTCAGGTGGTTCTTTTGTAGCTAAAGTTTGAGAACCACTGGCCTAGAGGGATGTGGTCATGGGTGGGGCCAAATCCTTACAGAGGGAGGGAGTAGGGATTCACTCCACACACAGCTGTCAGGACTCTCAGAAGCCTTAGGGAAGGAAGCTTCCAGCACTCCCCATTTGGGCACTGAGGAGGTAGACAGGCTGGCCAAGAGCTGGCGGGAAGCACAGCACCATCGTGCGAACAACTCTAGGACACAAGTCCCATACCCCTCTCCCAGTGGCATGGCTTCCTGGGTTTTCAGGTCTCTGAGAGGGACCCTCTGCCACTGCCCCATTATAGCCCTGAGCCCCCTTCAGGGGTAAATGCCCTGCCCTGTGTTGGAGGCATTGTGATGAGGTCCCAGGAGGGGAAGGAACTGAGGAAGCCCATCTGGGCCGGAAGAGCAGGAACTTGGAAGGCAGACTAAGTTGACCTCTGCTGCCAGGAGTGGGGGGTCAAAGCTGAATACTGAGATGAGGACTGGGGTTAGCAGTGCACACTTGTCCCTTGCCCCAGGCACACGTCCTACCTGTCCGTGCCCCTTGCTGAACTGTAGGCCTGCCTCTTGTTCTCAGTCTTCCTTCTTTGAAAGGGGAATGATTTCCTTGCAGAAGAGTTAAAAGGATTAAACTGTAGGGGAAGCACCTCATTGGTTCTATGATCCGTGTCATCACTGAACGAGGCTACTCACAGGTAAAGACCGGAAACCAGGTGTGGTGTCAGGCCCAGCTCCTTCCCTACACCTCCAGGCTGGGCTTTGAAGAGCAGCCCAGAATCCCAGCCCCCAACCCCGAGGAGAGGAAACTGAGAACACCCATGACCAGCCCAGAGAAAGGAGTATCGGGAGTGATGTTCTGCAGGAGAGGGTATGCGGTCAGAGAGACTTCCCAGAGATGGGGGCTGTGCCCTGGAAACCTCTGAAGCAAGATCCCACAGGCCCGGGTGCCAGAGGATGAAGAAAGTGGCATGAGCTGGGAGAGAGAGGGGTGGCTGGCCATAGCATCGTTCCACCCCAAACACCACACCCCCTTTCACCCAGAGTCCTTCTTGGCCCCAGAAACAAAGGCCTTTTCGTGCTGTGCAGGAAGCAGGGAGAGAATGAGATGGCTGTGTGAAGCCCACCTCCTTCCTCTACCACTCCCAGAACATTGGAGCAGGCCTGGAGCAGGGATCCTCTCTAATCCCATGTCTCCACTTCTATCTGTCTCTCTCTCCCTCTCTCTCACACACACGCACGCACGCACGCACGCACGCGCGCGCGTACCCCATTCCTGCCGCATCACTTTAGCACCACCTGCCGACAATGAAGGAAATAGCCTTGCCAAGAAACCAGGCGCTGGGCCTGCCGCACAGAGAACAGGACCACAGGACACATGGTGGATTAGGCGGTCTTGGCCACTTCAGCTCCTGCCCCCAAACCTCAGCAGACACGCACATCCCCAGAAGGATCAGCTCACTTGGCTATGACTGCCAACTCTTGCCTACCTGCAGAGACAGGCCCTAGCTTCCTAACCAACATGCCAACCCCATCAGAGAACTAGGGAATGGATGAGGGAAGACTTGGCAGCTGGGGGCCACTCCATGTTCTCCCAGGCCTTCAGAATTCTAGGTTTCATTCTTTGGAGGCTGGCTTGGATTTCACAGAACACATGCTGAACTAACTGGAAATTCAGACAAGTACCTGCTTGCCCATAGAGTGTGAAAGCTTTTTGAATGCCCATGTGGCACACACCAGCCTCAGGCTCTAAAAAGGTTGAGGTTATTGTTTTTGACATCTTTGTTTTTAGCATCTTTGATAATACACACACACACACACACACACACACACACACACTGCATAACTCCAGGAAGCCGAGGATCACACAAAATAGGCCTGGAAACAGTTCTCACTCTTCCCTCAAAGTCCCTGTCCCTCTCCTGCCCACCCCTCCACCCCCCCACCCCACCCCAGTTCCACTCTTCCTCTTTGTTCTCCTGGCCTGGCTGGCACTGCCTTTCACACAATTGCTGAAGCCAGAAATCTGGGAATCAACCTAGACTCGTCTTGTTCGTTGCCTGTGCTCAGTCTACCTCCTGGAGAGTTCCCAAATTTGTCCAGTTTTCTCCATCCCCACAACCACTATCCTAGTGCAGTGCAAGCCTCTGACCTGAAATGCTAAAATAATCCCTTAATTCAGAGGTTAGTAAGTTTTTTCTCTGTGAAGGGCCAGATAGTAAATATTTTAGGCACTGTGGACCAAGAGGCAAATCAAGGATATTATGTGGGCACTGATGTATCCTACAGTCTCTGTCACACGTACTCAGCCCTGTCATGATAGCACAAAAGCAGCCATAGATGATACATAAGTGAATGAGCATGACTGTGCTCCAAAGAAACTGCATTTGAATTTCACTGAGACTTGAATTTCATACGGTTTTCACTTGTCACAGAATTATTCTTCTTCTCTTGATTTTTTTTTCAGCCATTTAAAAACATAAAATTTATTCCTAGCTCACGGTCCACACAAAAACAGGCCCATGGACATCATTTGCCGACCTCTGTCTTCATTAGTCCTACTCCTATCTGTTCTCCATGCCACACAGAGAGTGATTTTGCCAAAACACAGATATGATGCTGTCAATCCCTTGTTTACAACGGGTCGATAGCTTGAGATAAAAATTTCAGCTCCCTAGCTTTCAAAAGCCTTCACATTCAGCCCTACTTACTTCTGCAGTCTCCTCTTTCCCTAAAGACCCTCGTCCCAGCCTCTGAAATTCTCCTAGTCTTCACACGGGTCCCCAGGCTCACTCCATGCTTTTACTCTGCTTGGAATATTCTTGTCCCACTTCTCCACCTGGAAGACTCCTATGCTTCCTTCAAGATGCAGAGAGCACAAACAGCCTGCACCTCAGAGAGCTGCAGAACATCCTCTGGGGACAGCAGATTTCAGGAGGTGGAAGAGCCAGTCAGGGAGAAGGCTGGGATGTCGGGCACTGGGGGATCACAGAGCAGACTGGCAGAGGGCAGAGGGAAAGTCTGGGAAGAAGTCCCCCGGGCAGTGGAGGGAGGGGATATATAGAGCTGTGCGGGGATGAGACAAGGTACCTGGGTAGCGCAAACAGCTTGCACTTGACTACTAACTGAAAGGCTGATGGTTTGAACCCTCCCGGCAGGGCCGCAGAAGAAAGGCCTAGCAATCTGCTTCCGCAATGGCAGTCCAAAAAAACCCTACAGAGCTCACTTCTACTCTGTAACACGTGGAGTCGCCGTGAGTTGGAATTGACTCAATGGCAAAGAATTTGGGTTTTTTTTTTTGGTGGGGAGGAGAGTAGGGAAATGACTGATGATCAGAAAGGCTTGGACATAGCAGGAGTGGTTTAAGCGGAGATGGACCCCATACTGAATCCACTCCTGCTCAGCAGCCTGCCCGGAAGGCCCACCTTGGACAGGTTGTGTGCACTAGGCGAGCTCCAAGGTCCTGGAGAGGATGGCCCGTGTCTTTTCATGGCTATCTACAGTGCAACGGGTTTCTCTTTATGTGTGACCTTTCTGGCCCTGGCTTTGTAGTTTTGTCAAGAGGATTTGCTAGGCCACAATCTTGCAAAGGTATTGGACAGTTTACTATGCAAATAAGGTGCTTAAAACCCTTGCAGGGATTGGACAGTTTACTATGCAAAGAAGGTGTGTAAAACCTTTGTGAGGACTGGTCAATTACTATGCAAATTAGGTGGCTGTGGCCTACCGAGGGGATTGGTCAGTTGGTGGTCTTGGTGGGAGGAGTAGGCTTATAAAAGGGCTAAACTCACAGAGGTTGAGGGGAACCTTGTTACTATCAAAAAGAAGAACCTGGAGCTGAGCGTGTCCTTTGGACGCAGGGTTCCATTACTGAGAACCTCCTAGACCGAGGAGCGAGAGAGCTGTACCGCTGAAGATGGCGAGAGACGGTATGGCAGTGGCATGAGACAGCAGAAATCAGGAGACTGACACAGGGGCCGATCTACAGAAAATAGTGCCTATGGGAATTAGTTTTAAATCGCTGAATGATCGTTCAC